GCACAGCATATCCTAGATGTCCCAGTGTATTTATTATATGTCATTATGGCTGAAATAGTGCTCACGCAACGTTTGAGAAAAACTCACTGAATGCCTCCACATTTGTTTTGTTTTGACAACAATGATTTACAAGTAAGAAGAAGAAAAAAAAACTTTCAGCGCCATAAGGCTAATGAGACACATTATATACAAAATTATAAAAACATGTTATAAAATGTAAAATAGCACACAGTATAATTGCATGTAAAGTTATACAAATAATATAGAGTATTAAGGGCTGGTGGAGAGTGAATAGATTAACCTACACTTTGGATTCTTTTGTACATTAGTGCAAGAGGTCTCGCTAGAAGCGGTTGTAAAATTCCCGCTTGCATCAGGTAATTTAGTTGATCATTGCTGGAGAGATTTTAAAACTGTGAATTATTACATTCGGCGGATTTCCACAAATCATCTTCAACAGCATCTATATTACAATAGATACACCTTCTCTCTTGCAAGGGAATAGAAGACTTGGCAAACTGTCCAGTTTCAACGGCCAAAGGGAGAGAAACACTCCTGAACTTTGCTAATATACTTCTTTCTTGTTTTTTTTAATACACTTTTTACATACGGGCTTACTTCAAGATAATGCTTGACATGCATAAACCAAGTCAGCGAGCCTGACCACCTGACCCCATAAGTCGCCTCACTATTCTAACATCAAAATTGTACCGTGTCAGAATAAGTTCTCTGAATTTCTAATAAAGAAAACAGTCACATCCAGAGGCCAGGGTTACTTTATCCAACACCAACTCATCAACTAGAATTATAACGGACCCGTGAAGATCCGGGGTAGAATAGATCTTCAGCAACCCATACTTGCCGCAAAAGGCGACTCTGCTTGTCGTAAGAGGTGACAAACGGGACCGGGTTGTCAGACTCGCTGACTTGGTTGATGCATGTCATCGATCCCAATTGCGTGGATCGATGCTCATGATATCAATCAGTGGTTGGTCTGGTCCAGACTCGATTATTTACAGACCGCCGTCATATAGCTGGAATATTGTTGAGTGCGGCATTTACAACAAACAAACAAACAAGAATTATAACATATAACTGTAACATATTACGAGGTCAGACCAGCCACTGCACTTGGAAGCCGTCCGCTGTGATATTGTACCGTATATTCCGATAGAATTTGTAGATATATTATACAATTCATCCTCACTGGGAGATGAATTCCATTACATGTTTAAAACGTACAGCTTTATTTGGCTTACCTTACACATGAATGTCGGGTTCTGATTGGTTGAGATCCATTCTATTATTTTCTATCCTGTAAAAAACACGTCAAGGTCCTTTGTTTGTGTTTTCCGCTCGAATTGCCGAACTGTTGTCATTATATTTGCAACATACCATCCGCAATTTGTGATCTCGAATTATGTAAAAAGCAAATCTCCGGATATTTACGATACTTTCCTTATGAAATAGATCTTGGGGGAATAACTCAAGTTTGTTTTCTGTCGTCTGCTATTATTCGCCGAATGTCAAATATGAACCAAGTGGATAAATGCCTAACTGTGGTATTTTTACAGATTCAGACCAAAACATGCATGCATAAGACATACCTGTAATATAATTGGGTGTGCGGTGAGACACAAATGTTGTCCATCGGTCCCTAGGATGATATGGGTTAATATACCATCCGTGTTAGTTAATGGGTTAAGTGAACATTATAGAGGTGCAATATTCCAGCAATATCACGTCGGGGGGTAGGAAAAATGGGCTTCACACATTGTACCCATGTTGGGAATCGAACCCGGGTCTTCGGCGTGAGAAGCGAACGCTCTAACCACTAGGCTACGCCCATGCTTGCTCTAAAAGGTGACCATGCTTGTCGTAAGAGGCGACTAACGGGATCGGGTGGTCAGGCTCGCTGATTTGGTGATGCATGTCATCGATCCTAATTGCATGGATCGATGCTCATAATGTCAATCACTGGATTGTCTTGTCCAGACTCGATTATTTACAGACCGCCGTCCTATTGCTGAGTGCGGCGTAAAACAACAAACCAGCCAACCAACCGGTACATTATAGTGGGTGAAGGGTACATTATAGAGGGTACACCAACCCATGCATGTCCCCCTCAGCACCGCTAGACAACTTATAATATACCTCCCCTCTCACGGTGTAAGAATCAAAACGTCTCTATATGCAATAAACCAGAAGTTGTTAGCCATAAATCTTCACATTTTCTTACTTACTAACCAACTTCTAGAATGACAATAAAACAGTTTTCACATGTATTATTTACATATTATCTGTGTATGTTCAAGTGCTTTGTCTTACATTAAGAATGATAAATATATTTACCCATGTCCTATAAAACATCAAGTTCCACTTATTATAAAACTGACTCATTGTGTGTCATTTATTCAACAAAGATCGGTCGTATCACGTGCCCCTGTGACTGGTCATATAGGAAATGAACCTGATTGATAGCACGAGAGTATACACATTGTTGTGATAAGTGAGTGGCTTACATCTTTTCCGATAAAGGACAAGGTATTGCAATCATGTCTAATCACAGTTGGTTATACGTGACGATTGAGACTTCTTTCTTAAAAGAGTAGGAGGTCCAGGGTACCCCACTTATTAATTTGAAGGGTCCTTGCAGGCAATAGGAATTACTGTAAAATAAAGAAATGGTGTAGTGTACTGTATGCTTAGATAATTACTTTAGATCCTGGAATGAATCAATGATGATGGTCATGATTGATGGATGAAATGACAGACACTCATAACTGCTCTTGATGGCTGTAGGTACAGTGAATATTGTTGCATGTCCCTAAGGACAAAGTATATATTTTATTATTTTTCCTGTGTCCATTCTGTACATTCGTGCATACTGGACGCACAATTGTGCTTCGCGTAAAACCCAGTTAGTACAACAGTAAACTACGTTTATAACGAACGCGCTTATAACGAACTGACGGATATAAAGAACTGTGTTTTGATCCCGTCCATCTTCTGTATATATATGCTTATAACGAACTACGGTTATAACGAAATAAAATTAGTGGTCCCTTTGAGTTCGTTATAACCGTAGTGTACTGTAGTTGGAAGTCTTGCTAAGGACCGGGACTAACTTCACCAGGGGCAGATAATCCGCAATTCCTAGTGTAGGTTATTTTCTAAATAATCTATAGAGCCGTATAGTCAATTTCTTCATAATTAGTAATCAATTTGAGTTATCGATAAATGTGTTCGACAGTTACATACGTACTAGTATTTGAGTAAATAATAATTGATATCCCTTCAACTGATCGACTATTGACAAGATTAACATTTATAGTGTGATCGATATCTACTACTCAAAAGAAGTTAAAGAATACAAGATTCTTCAGTCGTACTATAGTTAATCTTTCATGTCATGTCTGAGAGATTAACGACAGTATTATGAAAGAATCAGGTGTCCCTTTACTTGTTTTGAGTATACACCGTTGTGTCGAAGTTGAAGGGATCTACGTAAATACTTCGAGTTATCCGATGTTTGACACAACCGAAAAAGGTGAATAAAGAAGGAATATACAGGGACCAAACTTTTACTTCGACACAACCGCAAGTTCGACACAACAAATGTCGGCCAATGAGTCCACACCCAAAATGTGTTTTGTCGCGGTCTATTTATACACAAATGTTGCCTAACGTCAGCGTTTACTTCATACAGAGCAACGTTCAACACACAAAAGAGCGTCGCCGAGGTCATTTGACACTTTAATATGCAACAAGCCTGAGACAGTAGGGGCGGTCGGGTAGCCTAGTGGTTAAACCGTTCGCTCGTCACGCTGTAGACCCGGGTTCGATTCTCGACATGGGTACAATGTGTGAAGCCCATTTCTGGTGTTCCCCGCCGTGATATTGCTGGAATATTGCAAAAAGCGGCGTAAAACCATACTCACTCACTCACTCACTCACTGAGACACTATGCTGTGCGTTGAAGATGCGATCATGGAGTGTAACTGCAGATTTTACGACTGCTTTCAACATTTGGCTGTATAGGTTCCATCCTCTTCGATTTCTGTTGTAGACAACCGACGCACATTGTGGTTCGCGTCCCTCCCCCGAGCGTCGGTTGTATTTCTAACCATTGGCAGGTAACTCCCACCTGCTTTTCCAAAAATATACAAACTGCACATGACGCATGACGGGGTAACGACAAAACCGTCATCATTAAGTTTTGATCATGAGGTCAAAATTCGGGTAAGAATTGCCTTCAGTAGACGGCGAGCGGTTATATTTACCAGAGAACTTGGGCAATAGCGCTTAAAACACTGCATCTGCACGTTTGTTTCTTTCAGTTCGTGATGGTGATGTTCGTACGCCGCACACATTGCTAAATATACCCTAAATATAGTCACATGACTGCAGATTGTAACCACGTGATCAAAACTCAGAGATGTTTATCGCTAGGTAAATGGATATTTCCTGAAGAGCGCACTTTGCAATTTTGCCATTACTGAAAGTAATATATCGGCGTAATATCTTGTTTTCACTTTATAATTATTAGCACACACTCAGCTATCTTCGTTAATAACTCATCGCGATATGTCGTGATTCTATTTCATGTGGCGAGGACTATAATATCAAATATATCATGATGATGTGTAATTTTTATAACACCACACAGCTGCATGCATCGCCTTATGTCATCATGTTATCAGAAACAGTTGTGCGGCTATTGTGTTAACGCCGTTCGTTTTTGTCACGGCTGTGCAGCTTGCAAAGCACTTTTCAGAAACCCACTCGAAAGGTGCTGATTCGGATTCGACCCTAGGATCAGTAGAACATGGAACTGTGAGGCCTTGGACGATTGGACCATCATGGGTATTCAGCTGTTGACATGACATGCTCAACGATTCCTTAATATAGGATCAACACTATCCATACACATGACACAGCAAGGAAATATCACACCATCAACATTCACCTATCTGCATCCACACACAAGATGGATAAACTAGAGTTAGACGGTTTTTATTTACAAATAAGAAAGGTATAATATCCTTTACATTGGCATGAAGAAACAATTGCGTATGGAAAGGTAAATGAACGTTTCCGAGAGTTTTTTTGGTTAAATGGTGAACTAGGCTCCACCAAATTGGCAAGTTAAATTCAAGTCGTTCAAACACCACTTTGTTTGCTAACTCAAATTTTATAGTTGCTGGTTATCAGAGAGAGACAATGTCTCAGGTTCACAGGCACTACGTCTAGACCAGAGATCATATACCCATATTGTCCATGGTCTAGGCCTAGACTGAACATGGGCACGCTACTGTGGAGAGTAGTCTCCCTTGAACACCTTATCCCTCCTCGTGGCCACCATCACACAGGAATGTCAGCACTATAGCAATGACCCGCCAGGGCTATCATTTCTTCTTCTTTTTGCCTTTCTTCTTCCCCTTCTTGCCGCTCTTCTTCCCCTTCTTGCCTTTCTTGCCTTTCTTTCCCTTCTTCCCAGATTTTTTCTTCTTCTCCCCGTCTGGTATAGAGAAGTCGGGGATGTCGGGAACATCATTGACTTCGTCTAGTTCCGGCATTTCCCCATGTTTAGCATCGTTGACGATGTTCCACACGTCGCTTTCGTGCTCGGCAAAGTCGATTGGGATGACTTTAGAGGCTGTCTTGGCGTCGAGTGGGGCGCCATTAATGATCAAATGTTTGACAGATTCCTGGTGGTTTCCTGTGGAGAGAAGCATTGAAATAACCATACGAAAGACAATATACTTCATCAGCATAAAATATGCACTTTTGTTAACTTTTATTATTTTAAGTATTACTACAACACTTCAGGACAAAAGAAATTATACATCCATGTTTGTCTGTTAAAAATAAAACAAACAAGAAATGGTTATTCGGTGGTGATTGATTTGAAACCGGTAATAAAACTGGTGGTGGTGTCTGGACACATTAGAAACATTATCGGGGTGAACTATGATTTGAACACACCATCATAGTTTTTCAACGCAACTCTGCATAGCAAATTACAGAGCCTTACAGGATTTACTCCACCAAATCAGAATCAGTCCTTCAACAAGCAAACAGTTATCGTAGATTGAAACATCTGGCAGCTGTGATTGAATGATTTTGTGTAATATGGTTATGTTTTTTAAATGTACCTCCATCCAGTAATTAAAACTGACCATGTTTTCATGTCTTTTTTCACATGATGACTTATGCTGTATGTGACTACAGATATTTTCAAGCAGGTGACATTTGGTGTGGAACTGGGGGTGGTGTGTTAAGCTTCCTGTACTCGGAAAAGAAACTGGCTAAGGTAGACATTTTTTGTTTTTATTGTTGCTTTAAAGCCAGACTGTGTACACAAGTAATATAATAGCGGTTGAATTCTTAGTTAATTAAAAAAAATATAATGTTACTTCAGAAGTCGAAAAAAATTTGGTTGTGTGTAACCTAGAAGCCTAGCCCCCTCTTCCCCCTCCCCCCATCTTCATCTTCTTCATTGGTGAATATCAATCAATCCCAAAACACATAGGGATTATAAGATATATAAAAAGTACTCACGACCTAGTTTTATTGAGCGATAAAGCCCATTCAGGATGATGATAAACTTACCTTTAATAGCCAGATGGAGGGGAGTCACCCCGGAAGCATTTACAGCCTCGACCTTTGCCCCGGAACTAATTAGTCGTGCCACGATCTCTGTATAGCCCCCTGGGGATTGCAAACATACACATATAAGTCATAAGTATAGAATGTACAACATGACAGACATGTATAAATATTATAGTCATATAAATAATGCGACACTTTTGTTTTGTGATCTGCCAACCTAAGCAAAAAAACTGCCCCTGAGGAAAAATGACATTTACATTTTATAATTTGTTTTCGTACACAACAGAGTCTTAATTGTGTACATAAAAAACCGAAACAATATATTATATTTTTTTATATGCTGAATACAACAGTAACAAGAAGCCTACCTGTTATCTATATACATTTCATATCTTATTTCAAAGAAACACTTTCCTCCCACACTGATCTACTACATATACAAAAGAGAGCATGTCCATATAAGGCAAATAGGGAGTATAATCAAGTCACCATCTTTGGCTGAAAAACTTAATCTATGGTTACATGAGTGAGTGAGTTGGGTTTAAAGCCGCTTTAGATTATTCCAGTTATATCACGGCGTGTCAGCTTAATGTGGGAGGAAAGCCCGAAGTGATGCAGGTCTAAGACATTTACCACTTCGGTGAAACCCACGAGCATGGGTATGGTGCTGACAAATCTAGAAACATAATTGGGGCAAACCGGGATTCGAACCCACAATCATAGGTTTCTGGCGTTCTCAAGGGACGTAGCTCTGCACAGCGAATCGCAGCGCCTTAGACAACTGGGCCACCTGTGCCCCCGATAGTTACATGAACTCAAAGGGACTACTCATATTAGTTTATTATAAATGTAGTTCGTTATAAGCATATATATATAGCATATATACATGTACAGTAAAGGGACGGGGCCAAAGACCGGTTTGTTATGTCCGTCAGTTCATTATAAGCGTAGTTTACTGTATTAAAATTGGTGGCAGTGTTGGGGTGGTCGGGTAGCCTAGTGGTTAAAGCATTCGCTCGTCAGGCAGAAGACTCGGGTTCGATTCCCCACATGGGTACAATGTGTGAAGCCCATTTCTGGTGTCCCCCACAGTGATATTGCTGGAATATTGCTAAAAGCGGCGTAAAACCATACTCACTCACTCACTGGTGGCAGTGTTAGAGAAAGCGTCTGTAAAATATTCGTTTATGTGAGAAACGTAGTCCACCTATAAATGAACAAGGGTAAGACTTTCGGCCGTATTCCCCCTTACCAATATATATGATTAAAATGATAAAAGAAAATAAATACATGCAGGCCTACGCCACGAAATGGAATTTCCGTGAATAGTGGAGTTCACATATTGGGTCTACCAAGTTCAAATCTAGCATACAACCTGAAGGCAAGCATGTGTGGAACGACAAGTTCATTTGTACAGGTTATGTACGTAGTCACTTTGTCGTTTGAACATTTGCACATTCCTGGCGGATCTCATCCGAGGCATTAACAATAAATAGTTACCTGCACTCGCCCTGGATAAAGCAGTATGTCCGTATTCGTCACAAACATTTGGATTGACGCGTTTTTTCAGGAGCTTGATAACGGTAGATAGATCCCCGTTTGCTGAGGCGGTGATTAATCGATGTTCTGTTTCTTTTCCTATATAGACTTTGGAAAGAACTTCCTTAGCCATAATGACGCCGGTCTGATTATCGTTTTACACGAAAGGCTGTTCAGGCTCATTCGTTGTCAAGCACTTGTTTACATGGTCGCCATTTTTATTACCTCCCCTTGAGAGTTATTTAAGCAAGCTCCTCGCAGCGATTTTCCCAAGCTCCTTCCCAGCGCGTGACACCTTCGTTACACTCTCCGTAAACATATAGACTGGTACCCGTTCGTTCCTGTCGCAGGAACAAAAGGGAACCAGTCTACGTAACAAACTGCTAAATATATATATGCAGTGGAGAGCTCCTAGACCGGGCTATCGCTGAGGGGAGCTTGTGATTGCCCGTCAGCGTTGTAGACTGGGTTGCCTGCCCCTGAGAGCTCGCGCTCACCACCGCACTACAAAGCAGGGTACCAGTCAAGCGAAGTTGAGGCGCGTTGGGCAGGAGCTTGTAGTGACCTCCCTTGTCGAGAAATTATATTTCCCACTCGTGACCAACTCGTTCCATTCCGGGACAAGCGGAATGTAGATTCGAGCTTTGTTGTAAATCACGGAAACATGCGAGTGGCGACGCATGTATATTCCAGAAGAAAAATAAAATGTGACAGTTAAAGAGATTTAACTGTTTCCTTGACTAGATGAATCGTCTCATGAACAAGGACGTTTCTCATATATATTTTTTTCTCATTTTTTATGTACATGGAGAATCTCACCCGAGTGTCTTTTGATATCAAATATATCATCACGAGTTGATAAAAGTTTAAAAACATCCTTGCTCATGTGTCAATTCATCTATTCATGGAAACAGATATTTTTTTTTGAACTGTCAGATTATATTTTTCTTCTGGAATATACATGCGTCACCACTCGCATGATATCTCCTGTGGAAGCCACTTTTGGATGATAAACACTTTTACTATATGTAGCGGGTCCCGTGATGGGATTCGAACCACGGACCTTCTGATCCGAGATCAGACGCCTTGTCCACATGACCAAAGAGGTTAACCGCGTCAGCAAGCTGATAAGGTAAGGATGTCATCTGTGGGATGACTCCACGCCCTGCTACATACTCCCCAGTCAACAGAAGGCACGTCCCGGGCCGCATTGTAGGGTACTGAGGCTTATTTTGCTCAAATTTAATATGAACATGCTCAACCCCACGTTGGGCGCCAATGTAGCGGCCATGAAATGTCCGAGTCCCGTGATGGGATTCGAACCACGGACCTTCTGACCGAGGTCGGACGCCTTGTCCACATGACCAAAGAGGTTAACCTCAAGGTAAGGAAGTCATCTGTGGGACGACTCCACGCCCTGCTACATATACATAAATCTCGTTTTAGGTAACAATGTTAGACAACATTTTACACTTTGTTTGTTTGTTTGTTTGTTTAACGCCGCACTCAGCAATATTCCAGCTACATGGCGGCGGTCTGTAAATAATCGAGTCTGGACCAGACAATCCAGTGATTGATATCATGAGCATCGATCCACGCAATTGGGATCGATGACGTGCATCAACCGAGTCAGCGAGCCTGACCACCCGGCCCCGTTAGTCGCCTCTTACGACATGCATAGTCGCCTTTTACGGCAAGCATGGGTTGCTGAAGACCTACATGTACATGCACGTGTATTCTAGCCCGGATCTTCACGGAAACTATTGAAACTTGAACCAGAACTCTTTCTAGTCTGTATTTATTACTTGGAATTCTGCGCCGAGCTCCGTCGCCAATTTAGATATAAAATGGAACAAGGCTCTTCACAATTTGAGGAGCCCTAAACAAGTATGTTTTGACACGTTTAGAGAACATCCTGACGTGGATAAGGAGAAATATAGAGCCCTTAACAAGGATATATATTTTTCTTAGCAAAGGGTTATAAAATTAAAGTAAATTTCCTTAAGTGGCATTTAGAAGTTGGTTTTATGAACAAGGGATATAGTTCTATCTGCAGTCCTTATAACTATATCGCTTGTTAATTAAAGTAACATGAGTGAGTGAATATGATTTTCCGTCGCTTTTATCCATATTCCAGCAATATCAGGGAGGAGGACTCCAGAAATTGACTTCACACGTTGTACCCAAGTGGGGAATCGAACGAGCTCATGGTAACGTACCTATGCATAAATAATTGACAACCAATTGTCCATTTCTTAAATAAATATGGGAGTGTTTAAAATGTAGACTGACGTCACAGGTGTATTTTTAGTTTCCACACTAAGCCGTGCTATGTATAACCTGCATACACTTTAAGTCGTGCTATATATCGCCTGCATATTTATTGTCCTCATAATGATTGATCTGCCTATTTAAGACACTCTATACTCTCGATCACGGAAGCGGTCCAGGTTTGGGTGAAACACCCGCGTCATGGGATCAACATGTGACAGCTGATTGACACGTCTTGCAATGTACAACCCCAGATTGCCACTTACATGTATAGGCTGATCTGTATCTCCGTCACTGTATGGTGACGACCTGCCTGTCACGGGCCTGATCAGAGGCAATATTGCTGACTTGGCATTGTGATATTCACTGAATTAACTTCCATATCTCACCCTGCATGGGTTGACTTAAAATATCGGACTGAATGAAACTCACAAAGCGCATGAGAATGAAGCATATAATTTGATTTGTCTTGAAATGTGGCAATTGAACTGATTCTGAGAATTGTTGTGATGTGATGTTTGTTGTTTAACGCCGCACTCAGATATATTCCAGCTATATGACGGCGGTCTGTAAATAATCTAGTCTGGACCAGACAATGCAGTGATTGACATCATGAGCAACGATCTACGCACTTGAGATACGATGACATGCATCAACAAAGTCAGCGAGCCTGACCAACCGATCCCGTTAGTCGCCTCTTACGACAAGCATGGGTTGTTGAAGACCTATTCTACCCCGGATCTTCACGGGTCCAGAATTGATATACCCTTGTTTGATTGTCGGGATGGGGTGGTCAGGTCTTGGCGACTTGTTTGATTTCATGTCATTGTTTCCCAGTTGCGAGGATCGATGTTTTATTAAGTAAATTACTGGTTTGTCAGACAGTTGGAATCTGAGTGCGGCGTTAAACAACAAATTTACGAAACGAAATGTGATTTAATGGTTTCGAAACAGGCGAAGGAAGGCAGTTCTTGAACGAAAACACAGAATCTAATAGTTACATAGTGTATAAATATATTAATACGCCCTCGCGTACTGTTAACAACACGAAAATTGTTCATGTAATCACACAACACATTCAGTACATGCATTTCCTTCTCTTGTATAACGCACTCATAAAGAATCTTTGAACGGGTCCTTGGGAGTCTGGCAAAGGGAGACAACCACTGAGGTATATGATATTGCTATTTCGTAATGCAGAACTTTGATTGACAGCGAACACAGGTTTGCGTCATTGGGTTCCCCACGCCGTTTTTCGAGACAGGGGAATTTCCCACACACTGACAACGCGATAACTATCGACAATCACCGTATGTGGTAAATATAACTCACGCATGACGTCAATCTTAAACACTGTCTATTCAAAAACATACCCACATTTAGCATATCACGTCCTAGGTGTTAGACCGTGGCCAAGATGTGTTTTGAACAATATTTCGTCACACAAAACGTACATGAGTACAGTAAACAGCGGGTTGGCAAACTGGTCAAGTCTGACCTTGATGTTTGACCGTCATAGAGTCAATGTAATATAACTGTACACGTGTTGTACTCATACAATGAACAAGTTAAAAACAAAGTGAGGAAGGTTATAAGAAAACGTGAGTAAAAAAGTAATTATGATAAATAAAAGCATTGTTCATTAATTCATTCGTGTAATATAGAATTGGGAGACTTATTTTCTAATGATAAAAAAAATATCAAATTGATACATTACCTAAAACAATCAAATTAACAAACAAGAACGAAAAAAAATCAATTATAACCGGTTTCAATTAATAACATATACGTTCAATTTGATGCCCCGAAAAAGTTGGGGAATGTATTTATGTTTAATGCATATCCTGCATATTTACACGTGTACATAATCCACACCCACATTCACAACCGACGGCCACGCCCTGTTCACCATGGTAGAAACGCGGCTGTAGGACAGGAGTTTGTTGTTCCAGTAACAAATATTCCAATGAAAGGATGTAACTGATCTTAACGAAAACACGATAGTCAAGAAGCTATTTGGCTTTTTCGTGAGTTGGGGAATTTGTTTAAAACTACAGATATATGTTTGGGTATGTTAGATATGTAAAAAGCTCCTCCTCATATACTGGTGGACAAATAGGAGAACGGAAGGAAAGTGAGAAATATGTTTGAAATAACATCGTCGCTAACAAAACGGAATTTTTATAACTTTTTTATTTTTATTTTTTGCAAATAAACTGACATACTAGATGCTAATATTTCTCCTTGTTGGCATTTTTATAAAAAAAAATAATTTATTATTGTATTTTGCAAATATACTGACATACCAGATGCTAATATGTCGCCTTGTCGTACAGCATGGACATGAAACAGTTACATTTAAACCCAGCAGTTTGTCTACTTCCGTTGGTATTGCTGTCGTCACAGTCGATATCGCATATGATTGGACTTATTCCTTCTGCTGAATACCACGTGAAACAAGGACTTCCGGCTGGGTTTCAAATACTTGTCTCAACAGTTAGATTAATTTAAAATGTAAAAATAGAATTAATTGGGACGACAACGATAACACTACTACTACTACTACTACTACTACTACTACTACTACTACTACTACTAATAATAATAATAATCATAAAGGCGACTATGCTTGTCGTAAAAGGCGACTAACGGGATCGGGTGGTCAGGCTCGCTGACTTGGTTGATGCATGTCATCGATCCCAATTGGGTGGATCGATGCTCATGATGTCAATCACTGGATTGTCTGGTCCAGACTCGATTATTTACAGACCGCCGCCATATAGCTGCAATATTGCTGAGTGCGGTGTTAAACAACAAACAAACTAACTAATCATACTACTACTACTAATAATAATAGTGCTACTGCTACTAATCATAATACTACTACTACTAATAATAATAATATCTGGTTGATAAAGAATTATATCAAATGTTAAGTCATTCTGATGGATAGACGGTCCCCAGGGACGACTTCTCATTGTACTGACTTCATTCGGGACACTTCTTTTTTCTGGACAAAACGAAAATCACAACAAGAGAAGTCATTTAGATTCCCCATCCATTCTTGTCATTCACTGTGAATTCACTGAATAATCAACACGAAAGACTATATGTGACTCGCATATCGGTGTATTGACATGACAACTGATTCTTTCTTAGCATATTGCGACTATTCCTCGTGCTCAACCCCCGAACCCAGCGCAACCCCCGCCCCGCGTG